TATATGCTAACAGCTACATCTTTCTATCTGTCTTGGCTTCTAGAAGGAGAACTACCGCTTTGGTTCACACAACGGGCCATAAACCTTGTGAATACGTGAATGCTAGATCAAAGCATTTCCACAAACAAGTTGTTAGTTGACCAATACAAAGGTTACAGGTCACTTCATTAGGATAAACAACTCCCACAAACTTTCCCGCCCTTGAATACATTATGTAAGGTAACATCCTGTTTCCTAACAAACAACATTTAACTCTGTAATGGCTGAAGTGTAAGCAGCTTGCAATTCCAACACAAACCCTTGTCAGGGATGCTCTAGGTAGGACCTGTTCCTGCATTGAGCAGGGGGTTGGACTAGATGGCCTGTAGGGCCCCCATCCAGCTCTGGGAGTCTGTGAACCACCTGGGGCAGTTGTTGTTTTCCTCTTTCCCGCTGAGCGAGCAGCACCGGCTCTTCCCGCCCCTGCACTGCTATTTGCCCACATGCCCATTAAAGCACTTAACTATCCCTTTCCTGGCTGCGATGAAGGTAAAAAGAGTGGTAAAACTTGTTCAGGAATGGGTTGTGTAGATGAGATGGGCCCACGACAGCACCGGTGCTGGCCGGTCTGCCTGCGTACAGCTGCCTTCTGACACACACTTGTGGTGAGTGCCTTTCCACAGATAAGGTTAGGTCAGTTATAGGCGCCCTTAACATCCTGAAACACGGGCTCCGGAGGCCAAATCCAAGCACTGTTTGGGTGGAGTCTCTCAACACTCCCTTTGCAAGTGCCTTTGCCCATTGCAGGGCAGTCTGTCCCCGGAAACATGAAGGCTCCTGCCTCTGCATGCTTTGTCTCCTGAACATGTGCCAGTAGGGCATCTTCTCAGAGGCTGAAATGGACCCTGGGGTGGACCGGCTGGGCCCGCTGGCCAAGATGACGGTTTGCTCTGCTGGCAGCCTCCTGGCGTGGGCCTCTCTCCAACCCCTGCTAGCCTTGGGAGCCTCCCAGAGCAACACGCACCCAGTGGGAAACAGGAATGTGTGTGTGTGTGGGGGGGTTCCTCGCACCTAGCTTGCAGAAGACAAGTCAGGACGATTGTGCCAGAGTGCCCGCATCCTGCTTCATTACTTGAATGGCTTCAGTGGGAAGGAAACAGTTTCGAGCAAGGTTATACTTTTATTGAAGAGCCATAGGTGCATTAACATAGTCACTGTTAAGAATAGCAGTTGCCTCTTGAACCTAATGAGATATAGGGCATTCGTATGCACACACACACACCCCACTGCGCTGGCCAATTAGGCACCTCCCTCGTTACTTCTTTTGTTGTTGTTCAGTCGCACAGTCGAGTCCGACTCTTCGAGACCCCATGGACCAGATCATGCCAGGCCCTCCTGTCTTCCGCCGTTCTTTAGAGATCAGCATTTCAGCGCAAAGCAGAGAGAAAGGAATGCGAAAGCAATTTACACAGACACCGAAAGAACATCCCAACCCCCATGGCAGCATAGCTGACACCCCTCCCATCCTAGTTTTCCTCCCTCCCTCCCGAGTGCCCCTGCTTGCCCAGTCCCACAAAGGAGCTGTAGACCAGGAGTGGCCAAACGTGCTCAATGTGAGAGCCACATAGAATGAACGTCAGATGCTTGAGAGCCTCAAGACATGAACAGATATTACACCTTTTTACCGGGAAGTATGCAGATTTGCTTTTTGCTAACATTAAATGAGAGTGCCAAAATAATAACAAAAGGGGTAAAAGCAGATATTGAGAATGATAGTTATTTGTCCAATTATAATTTGTTTGCTAATGATATCGAGCTTCCCCAGCCGCCCTGCCGGGAGCAGCACAATATGTGTGAAAGAGCCGTGTGCGGGCTCCTGAGCCACAGTTTGTCTACCCCTGCTGTAGACATTTGGGGGCCCAGTGGGGAGGAAGGCACAGGGTGTGACTGAAGTAAACAGCGAGTGCTGAACCCAGCAGGGCAGGCACCAGTGTTTAAGCAGAGTTAGTGTGCGCTAGCTCACAGTTTTTTAGCCTACGGCTCACACATTTTTGCCTTCGCTCAGGAAGGATGGGGCTCCAGAGCAAACTAACTGATGCAGCAGCCAAACCGCTCGCTCACAACTTTCATGCCAGTCGCTCACAAAGTAGAATTTTTGCTCACAGGACTCCACAGCTTAGAGGGAGCACTGGCAGGCACCCATCTTGACTATCTGTTCCACTTTTCACTGCTATGGTGGTTTGGGATGCTGGACCTCTTTTGAATTGAATGGCCATGCCCTTCTTCTGTTGGTAACTTTGTCTGTGCATATTGGTGTCAGCTGAACGTAGCATTTTGTGCACCTGACAAAGTAAACCTTAAACAGCTGGATTTGAGTCCAGGAGCAACGACAAGATTTGGGGGGTTATCAAAGCTCCCTTCACCAGACCCCAAAGAGAGAGCTTTGAATTCTCGGAATCTGAAACGGCCCCAAATCTTGTCAGTCTCGAAGGGGCTCCTGGTCTCAGGACCAGCTCTCCTGCTGCGGACCAACATAGTTGACCTCTGAGCCAATAAACAAGGAACTGCCGGTTCATCCGAATTTGGGAGCGGTCCTCCACACCCACTTTCTTCTTTGTTTCTTTGTTTGTGCTGGGCAATACTGTTCGAGGCAGACCCCAAAGAGAGAGCTTTGAATTCTCAGAATCTGAAACAGCCCCACACCTGCGCCTTGGGATGTACAGCGTTCCCCCTGGACTGTAGCCCTTCACACCCCAGGGGAAGTGGCTCTAGTTCACAAGAAACTCTGTCACCTTCAACTCCTTCTGTCTTTGTGAGCTCCTGAGACTAGTCTTCGCCATTTCTCTTGGGACAGCGAGGGGTGGTGGTCTGTTTTGGCTTCCCCCTTCCTCCCAGCCCCCTTTCCTGGGTTGAGCTCAGCCGCACTGGTCCCCCCCACCCAATCAGACTGGTTTGGAGAGAGCTGGGCCCAGCCTGGCCAGAGGCGAGGGAGGAGGTGGGAAGGGGAGAAATCTACTGAGGCCTCCGGCCCTGCCTCTGTAGGGGGAGAGCAGCTACACCCTCCCAGCTCCCTGCGGATTCTTGCAAGACAAAGAGCGTTCCTGCCTGGAGGGGAGCTTTGCATTTTTCTTTGCAAAATGGAATTTCAGCAGCTGCCACTTTCCTTCGTTCCCTGCTGCATGACAGGAGGCACCCAGGAGGCAGCAGTGCATGCAGAGGCCTGGGCGGAATCGGCATTTGTCTTTCCAAGCCTTTTGACTCTGTCTTCAAAAAAGCTGTCTACATTTGGTGTCATTTTCACACCTCAAGTGTGTTAGCATACTTTTGCACGTCCACATATGCTTATCATCCTTTCGGGGCGGCTCCACTGTCATTGCACTTCTGCACTGCTTTAAAAGAATCTTCTCCAAACGACATTCAAGCAAGCATAGAGAAAGATGGCATCACGGCAGCATGAAACTAATTTAAAAATGCAAATGCAGATTCGGTTGAACGGGGGGCGCAGGTGGAGGCGCGCAGGCAGGAACCGGTTTCAGCTGGGGTGCTGCCTCAGCCAGCATCGTCTTGCAGCCAGGCCTCCTCTGGCCTATCTGTGGGAGGAAGGCAGGCAATGCTGGTAAACCAAAATGTCAGAGGAAACCCACAGGCGTTTCCAGGGGCCGGTTCTTGCTTCTGCGCCGTTAGTTGTGCTGAGGGCCCCTTCCGCTGTGCCAGGCTTTGAAGATGCCCTGTCCGATTTGCATGTCTTTTACATCAAAAGAGCGCCACAGTATTACAATACCTAAGCCACTCTTTTTTTTTAAAGTTTTATTTATAATTTTTCCATAAATACATACATATATCTTCCCCCCCCTTTTTTGTTACAATTAGGGGGGTCAACCTCACAATTTTCTTCATACCATTTTATGGCCTTGTGCCATTTCTGGTTAAATTTATCTTCTGTTTTTCCCGCCAAAAACATATTTAATTTATCAATTTCTATTACATCAAAAAGCTTGCTTAACAACTCTTCCTTACTCGGTGTAATATCAGACTTCCAATTCTTTGCGATGCATATTCTCGACATTGTAGCTACATATGCAATAATACATGTTTCATTATACTTAATGCCATCAGGTGTAATGTTTAATAGAAAGATTTCTGGTTTCAATGGTAAATCTATTTCTGTAATATCTTTTATCAGTTGTTTAGTAATTTTCCAGAATCTTTGTATTTTCTCGCATTTCCACCATATATGGAAATGCGTTCCTATGTTATTTTCTACTAGAAGAAGAATTAATGGAGGATTGGAAAAAACCATCAATGATCAAATGGGAAAGAGATCTGGGACGCAAGGTAGATAGAGACGAATGGGAAAAAACATGGAAATCTATTAAGTTACTAAGAGCTACGCCGTATAAAGAAAATATAATAAAAATGATATACAGATGGCGCTGGACGCCAGATAGACTGCAAAAATGTTATATAAATGTTTCAGGGAACTGCTGGAGGTGTAAAAATCCCTAAGCCACTCTTATTCTTTCATTTCAGTTCAGACCGACACAAGTAAAGAACTCGAAGGGAGCAAACCAACCCCCAGTGTGGCTTCAGTGTTCTAAGGTGGAGAAAAGGCTTCTCAATTGGAGAAGCAAATGTCCCTGAAGCGAATCCATCCAGTCTTTAAGATGGGAGATGGGAGAACCCCTCGATGTGCAGCCCTGATGAAGGGATTGCTAGCCTAGTCACATCTAGAGAGTGGGTCTACGGCAGTCCATCATTCCGTGTTTGCCTCAGAGACTGGAGGGATTGGCTTCAGGGACATTCGTTCTTCCAGATTGGAACTGAGAAGCCTTTTCTCCACCTTAGAACAGTGAAGCCACACTGGGGGATGGCTTGTTCCCTTCAAGCTCTTTACTTGTCTGTGCAACTATTGTCTTGTGTTGGTCCGAACTGGAATGAAATAATAAGAGTGGCTTAGGGATTGTAATGCTGTGGCGCTGTTTTGACGTTAAGTTTCATATATTAGTTTATGCACCACCCAGATGCCCTTTGCCAGCAGCACCAGCAGGCAGCACACGCAGCTGGGAGGAGAGGTGAGGACGTACGCGTGGGCGGGCAGTGGAAGGGTGTGAGCGCTGGCATCGGAGGAGGCGCGTGAGTCAGCAGCGCGAGTTAGGAGTTGCACGAGTCAGCGGCAGTGGACCCCACCAGAAGCCGTGGGCCCTGGCAGCAGCCCCACTCCAGCGCATGCCGACGCTGCCGGCCCTGGGAGGAATGGCCTTTTCTAACCCGGAGGCCCCTTGGGGGAGATGCGGGGCCGGAGGGGGTCTGCCTCAGGGTGCCACCGCTCTCCTCTTTTCCAGGCACCACTTGGATGCAGGAGATTCTGACCTTGATCTACAGCAAGGGAGACCCAGAGCCAGCCACCAGCATCCCCAACTGGGCCCGGGCCCCCTGGCTGGAGCACGTCCACTTCAAGGAGATTCTCCAGGAGACCGACGGACCGCGCCTTCTCACCACCCATCTGCCCTGGCGGGTGCTGGCAGCCACCCTGCAGAAAGGCAAGCCCAAGGTGGGTGCAGACAGTTCCTGAGAGGTCTGACTTTCTTGGGACTTCAGGAGTCGCTGCAAAGCTGGGCTCAGAAGACTTGGGTGTGCCATTCTAGGCCTCCCAGGATCCTGGAAGTTGCCCGTCCTGCTCATAGAGACTGGAAGTCAGTGAAGATAGTTCCATATTGAAGGGGGAAGGGGGCAGATGGTTGGGAGTTAGTGCCGGAGTACTGCAAGGTCACTCATTTCTGTCATGAAAGAGTTAAACTGTTTGTTTACATATGTTAACGTTTGTGTTAGCTAGCAGGTTAGCCTTAGAGCCAATCAGGGATCAGCCCTTGGTTCCCTCCAGGTAAAGAGGAGGTCCTGCCCTAGAGAGATGACCGGCAGAATGACCCTTGGTTATTTGAGGTTGGAAGGTGTCTACCTGTTTTTGCTGAGAATAAAGCGAGAACATCTTGCCTTTGTTCTGAAGAGAAGAGAGAACGGTAGAGAAGGAGCCAACTGGCATAGAGATTATCTAGAGAAGGTGTCGTCAATTCAGGGTCTTTTCTTGTTTTTCCAATTCCTGTGTACCTCCCCTCCCTTGTTTTTAGTAAAGATCGTTTTCTTTAAATCTCAAACACACGTGGTGTCAGCTCTTTGCTTAATTATGCAGCAAACTTGTACAGAAACCAACAGTTAGGCTTCTGGTATTGCTAACAGAGGGCTGTGGTGGCTCAAGTGGTTAAGACGCTGAACGGCAGACCGGAAGGTCGGTAGTTCAGCAGTTCAAGACCCGAGTAATGCATGATGGAGTGAGCTCCAGTCTCTGGTCCCAGCTCCTGCCAACCCAGCAGTTCGAAAGCAAGAAATTACAACTAGATAAATAGGTATAACTTTGGTGGGAAGGTAACAGTGTTCCGTATACCTTGGCGTCTAGTCATGCCAGCCACATGACTATGGAAATGTCTTTAGACAGCGCTGGCTCTTCGGCTTGGAGACGGAGATGAGCAAGTCGAATTTGACTACAGTTGGATTGACTAGAGTCGGATTCGACTGGCTTTCAAGCAAGGGAAAGCTTTACCTTTACTATTGCTAACAGGCAGGCTGGCCAAATCAGCAACCCCCCCAAAAAAATCAATACTGTGTAAAGAAAATGTTGAAATCAATTTACAGTAAATGCATAAATTTAGAGAAAACCGGCACTAAGCCTGTTATATAAATACAAGCAGATAGAACAATAAACCAAAATTTGCAACCACAAATCAGTACCGTATGCCAAATACCAACAATGTCAGCCTTAATGTTCAAAGTAATCCAGTAGCCCCCCATAAAAGAGGAAATTCGGTCCCCGCCTCCTCCGCTGTTACGGGGGAGCCAGCTAAACGGCAACCCCATTTCACACAAGCTATGTCAAAGAAGAGACCGTTGTCAGATCGGAAAAATTCTGATCCCCTTCTAGTTGGCTTGGGGTTCACCCACCCCTGTGGCTCATGTAGGTTCCTGTTTTTCTGCATAAGTGGAGAGTCTCCTGAGTAGGCAGAGGCCTCATCCTTACTGGACATAATGATCTTCTCCAACCTCAGAGGAGAGTGGTGGGAAGTACCATCAAGGTGCGGCCAACTTATGGTGACCCTTCAGGGTTTTCAAGGCGAGAGGCGTTCAGGGGTGGCTGGCCATTGTCTGCTTCTGTGTAGCAACCTGAGACTTCCTTGGTGGTCTCCCACCCAAGTAGTAACTGGGGCTGACCCTGCTTAGCTTTTGAGATCTGATGTGATCAGGCCAGCCTGAGCCATCTGCTGAGGGCCACTTCAGGGGGGAAAGGAATGATTCGGGAGCCCAGCTTGGAGCTCTTGAGCATGGGACATTGAAAAGAGGAGGAAGAGATTGGATTTATACCCCATGGCCCTTCACTACCCAAGGGAGTCTCAGAGCGGCTGACAGACTCCTTTCCTTCCCCCTCCCCACAACAGACACCCTGGGAGCAATGTTCCCTCTAAGCTGTGGAGTCCTGTGAGCAAAACTTCTACTTGGTGAGCTACTGGCATTAAAGTTGTGAGCGAACCATTTGGCTACTGCATGCATTAGTTTGCTCTGGAGCCATTCTTCCTGAGCTAAGACAAAAATGTGTGAGCTGGAGCCTTAAAAAACTGTGAGCTAGCTCACACTAACTCAGCTTAGAGGGAACACTACCTGTGAGGCGGGTGGGGCTGAGAGAGCTCTGGCAGAAACTGCTCTTTTTCAAGGACAGCTATGCCAGAACTATGGCTTGCCCAAGGTCACCCAGCAGCTGCATGTGGAGGAGTGGGGAATCAAACCCGGTTCTCCCAGATTAGAGTCCGCCTGCACTTAACCATGACACCCAATTGGCTCTCCAGCTGTGTGCTGGAGGAAGAGGGAGACGGTGTGGTGCAGTGGTTGGAATGACCTGGGTTCAAATTCTCACTCAGCCACGAAGCTTGCTGGACAACTGTGGGCCGGTCATTCTCTCTTAGCCTAGCCTCCTTCCAGTGTCATGGTGAGGATAAAATGGAGCCTGCTTCTTTGGGAAAGGGGTGGTGGTGGATCCAGGCAGGTAAGTGGCCCCGGGTGACCTTCCCTGTGTCTGTCTGTCCCTCTCACACAGGTGATCTATGTGGCCAGAAACCCCAAAGACGTGGCCGTGTCTTTCTACCACTTCCACAGGATGGCCAACTTCTTCCCAGACCCTGGCACTTTCGATGACTTCCTCCTCCGATTCTTGGACGGCACGGGTGCGTGGGATGCCCGGGTGGGCCTGTGCCAGGATCATGGTACAGACTCATCCAGGACGGGCTTAATTCTCAGGGAGCGAAACCTGAAGGGGGCTCAGAATCCACCTACCTGTTCTATGGGAGGGATTCCGTGCCTGTCTAACCGCACTTCCTAGGGTCAGGGGATATTTGAGCGCAGGTGAGTTTTATTGCCAAACCAAATAAGGTCTCCAGAGAACTCAGAAATGTTCCACTGCACTGTTGACTGGACAAGAAATATACTATTTTTAGCTAGATCCTCAAATGTCAAGATTTTCCTTCACAAACGGATTACTCATTTTTTCTCGGGAGCCTTGTAAGAGTAGAGGACGGAATGACGGGCTTTCGGCGCCAAGGCCGCTCTCTCTTTCAAGTGGAGCTTTGCATTCGCAGCGCAGCTTGCAGCTGCACTGTGGAGAGAGCCCTTCAGGATGCTGAGACGCTTGAAGTGTGGAAGCAACTCTGCCGTAGCTGTGTTATTTCAGTATGCTGTCGTTGTTGGGTGTGTGTTTGTGCATGTGATGGGAGGAAGAACAGTCAGCCCCTCGTTCTGAGCTCTGGGAAAGAAAACTGGCACAGATGATCTTCCCTGGTTCTTGGATTGTGGAGACAGATCCAGATGGGTGGCCCTGTCAGTCTGCCTGGAGCAGGAGAAAAGAGCCAGAGTCCAGGAGCACCTTCAGGACTCACAAAGTCTATGGCAGGGGAGGAGCTCTCCTGAGTCACTGAGTCAACAGCGACTCAGAAAGGCTCGTACCCCTGCCACAAATTTTGTTGATCTTTAACGTGCTTCTGGACTCTTGCTCTTTTCTACTGGGGGGGGGGAGAGTGAGGCCAAATATTTATGCTAAGTCCTACACTTAGGTACATAAAATCAAAGGCACAGATATAGAATGGGAGGGACTTGGTTTGACAGCAGCACATGTGAAAGGGATCTGGGGGTTCTGGAAAGCTAAACATGAGCCTGCAGTGCGATGTGGCTGCGAAGAAAGCTAATGCAATCTTAGGACGCATTAACAGAAGCCTTGTGTCCAGATCATGGGGGGTGGTCGTTCCGCTCTGTTCTGCTATGGTCAGGCCTCACCTGGAGTCCTGCGTCCAGTTTTGGGCACCACATTTTAGGAAGGATGTTGACAAGCTCAAGCGTGTCCAGAAGAGGGCAACCAGGATGGTGAGAGGGTTCAAATCCAAGACTTATGAGGAAAGGCTGAAAGAGTTTGGGTCTGTTTAGCCTGAGAAAGAGAAGGCTTAGAGGGGACATGATTGCAGTCTTCAAGTATTTGAAGGGCTGTCCTGTAGAAGATGGAGCAGATCTATTCTCTCTTGCTCCGGATTGCAAGACTACATCCAATGGGTGGAAATGACAAGGGAGTTGTTACCGGCTAAATATCGGGAGAAACTTCCTAGCTGTAAGAGTGGTTGAGCAGTGGAACAGTCTGCCTCAGGAGGTGGTGGATGCTCCTTCACTGGACGTTTTAAAGCAGAGGCTGGACAACCATCTTTCAAGTATGTTGTAGGTAGGTTTGCCAAGTGTGATCTTCGCGCGCGTGCCGGGCACACTGGGGGCGGGGCCACGACCATCTGAGGGAAAACCATAGAGTTTTCCCTCGGATGACTGTGGCCCTGCCTCCAGTGTGCCCGGCGTGGTCGCGTCCCTTCCGGGTGACGTGCACGTCGGGGTGGGGTTCCCCCCGGGGCCCAATCCACCGGCAGCAGGGAATGGGCCTCTGGGGCGGGGTTTTCCCCGCCCCCCGGGGGGACTTGGCAAGCCTAGTTGTAGGCATGTAGGGCTCTCTTTTGGCTGTGCTCCTGCAGAGTGCAGGGGGTTCGACTAGATGACCTGCAAGATCCCTTCTAACTCTAATATTCTATGATTCTATGACTTCACATGGGAACCTTTTCGGCCCTCGCCAATTCCAGGAGACTTGTTGCAAGTATTTGTCTCCCACCTTTCCCCGGAAAGAATGAGCTGAAGGCAACTTACAGTGCATTGAATGACAGGGTTAAAACCAGACAAACTTGTGTGTGTGTGTGTGTGTGTGAGTTCTGTGCTGTCCAGTTGCTTCTGACCTCTGGTGACCCAATGAATCAATGTCCTCCAAAACCTCCAGCGGTTAACAGCCTGGCTCAGGTCTTGCAAGCTGAAGGCAGTGGCTTCCTTTATTGAATCAATCCATCTCATGTTGAGACAAAGGTCCACAGGAACCTAAATTGTGCTGTTGAGTAAGTGACGCCCGGCCGGGAGGCCCAGCAAGAGGCGGCTTTGCTGGGCAAAAACTGCAAAGAAGCCGAGAAGGGATCGGCTCACCCGGGGGCTGCAGCTGGCCTGCAAGGAGCTTGGGGCAGCGCAAGGAGGAGCCCCCCCCAAAGCGGTGCAGAGCCACCTGGGAGGGGGCTGGCATTTCCCCCTGGGCCTCTGAAGGAGGGGAAGAAGCCCTTTAGTCAACTGAATATGGAAAGTTACTGGAGCCATAAGCCCATATAACTTCAAATGTCAGGAGGAAGTGGTGGGAGGGAGTCCCAACGTTTAGCACTCTGCCCTGAGGAAAGAAAGAATGTTCCCAGTGAAACCAGAGGTTTTTATATGCTCACCCTTTCCTTTTAAGCAGCTCCAAAACGACTTTTAGATTGCTGCAATAATACATAAGTCGTTAGAGCCCGGTTTATGTGCTGACGAACACTCCCAGAGTTCCAGGGGCACACCCGAAGGGGCTCAGAGGGATTTGCTACGCACAATTTCCAGTCCCCAAATCTCTTCCCCACCTTAGGTTAGCTGAAGAATCTCTTTCCCATAAGTCATCCACAGTTAGCGCTTGCTTGCTGTTAGGACTGCAAACGCTTTTCACTGCTGTTTGTTGAGCGTCTGTGAAACCAGAGCCTTGACCACAGGCGTGCGAAACAGAACAGAACGGCAGGTTCCATGCTGGCTTTCTGGGTCAGCTGGGGGCCCCCCTAGAGCAAAGCTGTTAAAGAACGGTGTGTCTCAGCCTTCCTGTGCTTGAGAACCCGCCGAGCCTCGCAAAACCACACATCCTTTGGAAAGCCCTGGAGGATCTGTGCTCAGCTAAGTGGCAGTTGCAGAACCCCCTTTCCAGAAAAGCAGGCACCTAGTCATTATTTCACACACACCCCCTCCCCAATTTATGTCCAGGGCAATCCTGTGTGATCTCTCAGAAGTAAATCCCAATGGATCTCTACATCTCGTGTATGCGAGTTTCAGGTTGCAGACTCCGCTGGGGAACTCAGATTGTGTTCTGTTTCAATACGTTGTCGAAGGCTTTCATGGCCGGAGTTCATTAGCTGTTGTAGATTTTCCGGGCTGTGTGGCCGTGGTCTTGGCATTGTAGGACCTGACGTTTTGCCAGTAGCTGTGACGGGCATCCTCAGAGGTATCACACAGAAAGATGGAGTAATCTCTGTGTCAAGGTGAGAAGCAAAATGGTAGGCAGGTAATTTATATCTAAAGAAGGTGGGATAGGGCTGAGTCATTATCTTGTAGGTGTTCCCCAGGCTGTGAAAACATGCTAATGGAGGAGCTTTCCTGAGCAGGTTCTTTTGTATATGGATTGTTTCCTGAGGAGGTTCTTTTGCATGTGGATTCTAATCTTATCTGTAGTGCTGTTGTCAGATGTAGAGCCTTTTCTGTTTTTCAGGACAGGAGGCCATGTCCTACTTATTTTTAAACTCTCTTCTTTCCTGTTCTGTTTCTTCAGACTAACACGGCAACCCCTCTTGATCCATCAGCTGCTAAGTGTGAGACTGACTCTGTTGTGTCTCGAATCCATAAATATCGGCAGAGCCAGATTCGGGTCCAGGAGCACCTTAAAGACTGACAAAATATCCGGGCCGGAGCTTCCTTCGTCGGATACCAAGGGGACTGTGGCTTGCAGGAGCTCCTGCCCCCCAAATCTTGCTGATCTCTAGGGTGCCGGACTCAAATCTATCTCTTCAGATAGGAGAGCCAGTCTGGTGTAGTGGTTCGGTGTGCGGACTCTAATCTGGGAGAACCGGGTTTGATTCCCCACTCCTCCGCTTGCACCTGGCTGGATGACCTTGGGTCAGTCACAAGCTCTGGCACAGCTGTTCCTGAAAGAGCCGTTTGTGTCAGAGTTCTCCCAGCCCCGCCCACCTCACAGGGTGTCTGTCGTGGGGAGGGGAAGGGAAGGGAAAGGAGTTTGTAAGCCACTCTGAGACTCCAAGTGAAGGGCGGTTTTTTTTTTTCTTCTTCTTCTTCTTCTTCTTCTTCTTCTTCTTCTTCTTCTTCTTCTTCTTCTTCTTCTTCTTCTTCTTCTTCTTCTTCTTCTTCTTCTTCTAACTGCCCTCCGGAAACTGTAAATATTGGTAGAGATTCAGGAGTGCAGGGTCCCATGGTAATGATGGTGGACGCCTCACCTTTAGGATTTCTGCAGGCCATACAGCCGACTCGTTAAGAGTAGAGTAAGCTGGCTAAAAACAATGTCCGGCTTGGGGTGGGGCAAGGAACGAGGTGGGAATCTTTCCAGCAGATGTCTGTGATTCCTCCCACCGGCACGCCAGAAGGGGAAATGCCTGGAGCCCAAGAACCTGCCAATGGCTGGGGAGAGCGCAAGGGGACATTTGGCTGAGAAGAGTTGCGAGGATTCCTTGGTGAACAAACAACCTGCTGGAATCTCAGCCCAAAGGCGAGGGGCAGGCAGCGCTCGCTTTGGGGCCCCGGACCCAGCCTGCGTGACCGTGACACGGGAGGGACTGGGGGGGGGGTGTCGCTTCAAGTGTCGGTGGGGCCTGATCCAGCTCTTCTCCCTTGGGCAGTGCACTACGGCTCCTGGTTCCAGCACGTCCAGGGCTGGCTGAGCTGCCAGAAGGAGATGGACCTTTTCTGGGTCACGTATGAGGAGCTGCACCAGGTGAGTGGCCGCCTTGTCGTCGGCCTCGTAACTCGGCTCAGGACGGGGGGGGGGAGTACGCCAGATCTGAGCCGGCGGCGGCCTTGAAGTCTGAGCATTTGGATGTTGCTTAAGTCTTCAGTCAGGGCTTAGTTCTCGTGGCCCCTTCTTACACGCCCAGGGAAATGATGATCGTCACTTTGGGGTCAGGAAGCCATTTTTCCTCCAGGCCGGTTTGGCCGGGGATCCTGGAGGTTTTTTGTCATCTTCTGGGCGTGGAACAGCGGTCACTGCAGGTGTGGAATGGGAAGTATCTGTGAATGTCCTGCCTTGTGCAGGGGGTTGGTCTAAATGACCCTGCAAGTCCCTTCCAACTCTGACATTCTATGATTCTAAGTCACGAGTGCCGTTAAATTACAGCATTTTAGGGTCTCCTTGTTATACAAAAATAGCGGGAGGACTCGAAGGGCGGCCATGGTCTGTGTTCTTCCCCGGAACTGCGCTTTCCCTGGCACGTTGAATGGAAGCTGGAAATCTTTCTTCTCTCCTTGCAGCTCAAGTCAGTGTGCACCTTCTGGCATACTGAAGCGCACATCTTCCATTCTGGGTTTGTTTTGGCTTGAGGGGTGTGTGTGTGTGTGGGGGGGGCTAGCAGCCAGCCAGACTGGGTATTCTCCTGTTGCTTTTGAACAGGGGCTTGCAGGGTGGTCCCTCAGGGGCAGCTAGGGAAGCCCTTGGGGGAGAGAGTCCGGGTGAGGATCCCGGCTTCCCTCAGCTCCCGTTTCTTTGTTCTTTCTTGGGGCATTTCCAGTTCTGCGCCACCATGCGAGTGTCCTGCTCAGCTCTACCAATACCTTCTTCTTGTCTCTGGGCGAGGAACTGCACGAAACTTTGTGAAACTCTTATCCACACTATTATTAGATCGGGGCTGTACAAAGCGTGCCTTCCACAAGTAATAACCACCCCTGTCTGGGCCCGACTTACAAGCTTCCCCCCCCCCTCGTGCCAATTTATTTACCCAGGGCTCTTTTTGTAGAAAAAGCCCAGCAGGAACTCATTAGCATAATAGGCCACACCCAACAGCAGAAACTCATTAGCATATTAGGCCACACCTCTGGCAGCGCAACTCATTGGCATAATAGGCCGCACCCCCATGTTACCAGAAGTGTGGTTATCCAGCCACACCCACCTTTTGCTTGTTATTCTGTTTACCTTGTTTGTTGTCAAAACCCAGGACTTTTTTGTAGCAGGAACTCCTTTGCATGTTAGGCCACACACCCCTAATGTAGCCAATCCTAATGAGTTTCTGCTGTTGGGTGTGGCCTATTATGCTAATGAGTTCCTGCTGGGCGTGGCCAACTTGGGAGCCAGCCGGAACTCCGTTCCTGTGTGTTCCTGCCCAAAAATAGCCCTGTATTTACCTACTTTATTTATATCCCGCCTTCCACCCCAATAAGGGCCTAAAGCGGTTGACATCCTTCTCCTCACCTCCATTTTACCCTCACAACAACCCTGTGAGGCAGGTGAGGCTGAGAGTGCGTGTGACTGGCCCAAGGCCACCCAGCGAGCTTCCAGGGCACATGTGTGAGTTTGAACCTGGGTCTCCCAGATCTTAGTCCCACACTCTGAACCACTACACCCGTGCTGGCCGACATGAGTCACTGCAGTGCTCCTCCCTGTCTGCCTTGCTTCATTCAAGGCGTCCGCCCCCCACACATACATTTCTCATGAGGGTTGCTCTGTCCCAGAGCAATGGCTGTGCAGGACCCAGACGGCCTTCTCCATAGCAGAGTGTTTGTTGAGGGAGGATTTCAACAACCTCTTCCCCCCCCCCAGCTGGCTCCTATGGACGGGGGAAATGACATATTCTTCCTGTCATTTTTTATTGCTTTTGTGAACTTTCTGCTAGACGCTTGAGCTCTTTGCTGTGGTAGACCAGCAGAAGACTCGTGTTGCTTTTGCAGACTTTTTTTTAAAAAGAAAAACACCGGCAACAAGGCTAACCGCTTATTTGCAGTGAAGCCTCACCACAGGAGGAGCATTAAACGTCTCTCTGCGGGTGATGAGTCTACCCTGTGTCAGAGGGAACATACACTGTGGGGGTTTTCAAAGGAAAACAGGCTTGGCTCATCCCTTCGAGCAGAGCTTAGGAGTTTTTTCCCTGGTCTGTGGGAGGCGTCCAAGTCTCTTCTGTCTGTTTTGGAGGCTAGAAAATCCCCTGCTGGAATAAATGATGTTGGTCTTGAAGGTGGCCCCAGGAGGACTCCTGCCGTATGTCACCAGCAAGAGAGCAGCTCGGACGGGAGGCGGAGACCAGGTGTGCCTCCCTCTCTCTCCCTCCCTCAGCGGACCAGGGGCTGCCGGCCATTCGGACAGGGCTGCTGTGCAGTTGGGCGAGCGGCTTGAGACCCAGATGGAAAGCTCCCGTGGGCCAGACGTGGCCTGCGATTGGCAAGTTGTCTGTCTCTGCCTTGGAAGCCGGGCACCTGCCCCCAGGGGAGGGGCTTTGGCTCAGCGACAGAGCACCCGCTTGGCAGACAGGAGGTCCCGGGTTCAATCTCTACTCTAGCATCTCTAGGTTAAAAGCACGAGGCAGTGGGTGATAGGAAAACGTGTTGGGTGATAGTGAGATATTGAAAAAAATGGTATTTAGCAGAGATAAGATAGTCCAGCAGAGCCAAAGTAAAATAATTCAGACTCAGAATCCATGTATGATTAAAATATAATTTTTTTACTAAATTCTAGCATGGGGAAGGGTAACTGGGATGAAAATAACAACAGAGCAAAATCGGCTACATCCTTACTCATAAGAACATAAGAACATAAGAGACGCCAATGTTGGATCAGGCCAAAGGCCCATCCAGTCCAACACTCTGTGTCACACAGTGGCCAGAAATACCAGTGCCATCAGGAGGTCCAGCAGTGGGGCCAGGACATTATATACTGAGTGTTTTCAACTTGTAATACCCAACAAAACCTCTACCTGAGACCCTGGAGAGCCGCTACCAGTCTGAGTAGACAAGACTGACCTTGATGGACCGGAAGGTCTGATTCAGTAGAAGGGAGCTTCAGGTGCCCATGTGCCCAAACAACAAGGCTATCCATGGGCATGGGGTACGATTGCCAACTCTGGTGCAGGGGGGGAGGGGGAGTGCACAGAAAACGCACCCAACAGCTTGCAAGGAGCGAGCGCTGCTTTTTGGGTTCCGTGTGGAACATGAGCCGCTCTTTTGTGGTTGCTCTTACTGTCCAGAAAGGCACTTGGAGACGGTGGCTGTTCGGTTGCTCCACAGAGGCAGGCCGGGGCAAACCAGCTCCCTTTGTCTCTCGCCTTGAAAACCCTCCGGGAGCACCAGAAGTCGGCTGCAACTTGACGGTGCTTTCCGCCACCAGTGATCTGGGTCCTGTTAAGAATGTGGTCAGACCCCCCCCCCACAGGGGACTCCGGGCAACTCCTTCCTCTCTTGCTTACCCCCCCACCCCCTTCTCTGCCTCAGCAGGACTTGCGGGACTGCGTGGAGCGCCTGAGCGCCTTCCTGGGCTGCCCTCTGCAGCCGGGCCAGATCGAGGCCATCCAGGAGCACAGCAGTTTTGCCTCCATGAGGGCGAACCCCATGGTCAACTACACGCTCGTCCCTCAGGAGATCCTGGATTCCAGCAAAAGCACATTCATGAGGAAAGGTGAGTGGGAGGAGAGTGGGGAGGGGGCGCCCCTTCCCCAGGCCAGCCGGAGCTTCCTGTTGGAGCGCTGGGCTCCTTCACGAGGCTCCTGGCCGGCCGTAGCCAGCTGGGGACTGGAGGAAACGGAGGGTCAGGCCAGGCCACCCTGAGCCTTGGCCAATTCTTCTGCTTTTAGGTATCGTCGGAGACTGGAGGAACCACTTCTCTGCAGAGCAGAGCGCCCTCTTCAACAAGGTGTACCAGCGGGAAATGGCGGACTGCAGCCTGAGCTTCCAGGGCCTGAAAACAAAGCCCCCCCCCCCCCCCCCCCCAGAAGCAGGATTTGCCCAGGGCCCAGAGGCAGCTCCGTACCCACAGAGCCAAGAACCGCCTGCTCTTTCCCAGCCCTTTCGCTGCGGAGGGCTGAAGCTTGGATCCTCCGTGTGCAGAGCACAGAGTGGTTTCCCGGCCACCATCCTGGTGTTGCTGTATTCTTGGAGGGGGGGGGGCTGTGTGAACTCCCAGCTCCCTGTTAGGTTTCCTCTTCTTCTGCAGGCAGGACCCAGAGGTCATTTCGGGGGGGGGGCACGCCCTGATGTCAGGGGGTGTGGCATATGCTAATGAGTTATGCTAATGAGTTCCCCTAGCTCTTTTTCTACGAAATGACCCCTGGCAGGACCACATAATTGCCCCAGGTGCTGACCGTTGGCCTCCCTTTCCTCCTCTTGGGAGGCGGGCAGCTGATTTTTGCAGAGCAGTTCTAGAGCTTCCGGACTGTCAGAAGGCCGCATTCACAGCCAGTTCCATTTCGCAGCCAATATCTAGTTCCTTGCCAAAGATTCCTCCTGGGACTCCCAGCAAATGAGATCAGTTGGCCCAGGCCCCTTGGCTTCCCCCCAGGGGGAAGAGGAGGATGAGAGCGTGCGGATGGCCTGGGACACAGCCACATTGGCAAAACTGCCCCCGTGTGGCACCTGGCACAGCTTGGGTGGGGGAGCCAGATGTCAGCCACATGCTGAGTGGGAAAGGAAGCCCTGGGATCCCCACTGAGGGCCAACTAATCCCCCCCCCCCGAAGAAGCCGCTGTACCACGCCCCAACTAGGGATTGGGTTTTGCATCCAAACACTTTTGGCTACTGAAGGTCAAGCTCCGTGAGACGTCAGCAGGTCCTCCTGACATTGCTAGAAGCAGGATTGGTGCCCTGTAGGAAGGAGATGGGAGGGGGTTATGTGGTTTTTTGTCTATTGGTCCCATTGTTGGGGGAAAGGGAGGCTCACAAGTGCTTTAAATAAAATGGTTCCTATTGAATATATTTGCGTTGAAAGAAAAACAAACGGGTATTCTTCCCCACAGAGCCAGCCCCGGTTTAGGTCTTCCCATTATTTTAAAAAGTTAAGCAGAGATCTCTGTTTTGGCACTGTGCACATGTGCTTATGAGGGGCACGTGGTTCAGCGTCAGTAAACTGCTTCTTCTGCGCCCTCTTCTGGGCATCTCAAGCACTGCCGGACCTTCCAGATAGAGGAAAAGGAGAGTCCCACTTACCCCCCTCCCTGCGTGATGGATGCTGAGCGGGGGGGGGGGCTGCCTTTCTGCATGGGGTGCGGTTTGGCTCCCATGGGACTTGCCACTGTTCCAGCAAGCGCATCATTTTCAGGGCACGGCTAAACTGACCCGCGCAGGTATGGCTTCAGTTCCTGAAACTGCCCAGATCCCGAAACTAATGCCCCTCTTTGATGCTGCTCACCGGGCTTTAAAAAGGGAACATCTGGAGCCATACGGGGGGGGGGTGCGCTATAAACAACTTGCCTATAAGCAGGGGTCATTTCCTGCAGGAACACACAGGAGCGGAGCTCCGGCAGTAAAGAGCCCAGGGGGTGGGCACATGCAACAAGCCCCACCCCCTGCTCCCAGCAGCCCTCAGTCAGAGCAAGAAGCAGCCAGGTAAGTTGCAGAGCCCCCCCCAGGCCCCCTGGTCCAAAACAGTCCAGTGGCACCTTTAAGACCAAGTTTTATTCAGGTACAAGCTCTCCCTCCTCTACGTGGACAGATCTGCACGCCCCCCCCCAATAGCTAGCAATCCAAAACAGTCCAGCGGAGCCTGAGCGGTGGGTGTTGCCTTCTGACACACTTCCGGTGATGGCAGGGGGTGTGGCATATGCAAATAACTTATGCTAATGAGCTCCTGCACCTCTTTTTCTACGAAATGCCCCCTGCCTATAAGTGACCTGCCACAGCAACACCCCCGGGCATTGCTCTTGGGTGGGCACACCCATGACAATCAGAAGGCTACAGAGAGTGGGAGAAAGTTCTCAGAGGAGTTTGCAGCACTGTGCCCGAAGCCTTGAGGGTCTGAAGGGTACCAATATTGTTCTGGAACTTCCCCCGGGGTGTCTGCCTGCAGGTGTTTGTTTGTTTTTTTAAGTCCTGCTTGTTCTGGCCAAGGGGACAGAGGTCCAGGAACTGCCCAAAGCATCCACCTCACACATTGGTGTGCAATGCTCTGAGGGGAAGAGGAGTTCTTAGCCCCTAAAGCTACTCGGGCATCTACCTAGTCTGTCGATATCCTTCCTAGACGCCCTCTGCCTGGCAGGTGGGGGTGGGTGATGGGGAGGCACTTATCTTTGATGCGAGGGACCTCTTTTGCTGCAGAGGGCTGGGAGGGAGAGAAACCACCAAGCCGGTTGTCATGCAGGGCACCAAACTGAATTGATGCACAAGGAACCCATCACCAATGCTCCCTCTAAGCTGTGAGGCTTGTGAGTAAAAATCCTACTTGGTGAGCTCCTGGCATTAAAGTTGTGACCACGCGATTTGGCCGCTGCATCAATTTGTTGGCTCTGGAGCCCCACCCTTCCTGAGCGGAGACAAAAATCTGTGAGCTGGAGGCTCAAAAACTGTGAGCTGGCTCACACTGACTCAGCTTAGAGGGAACACTGCACGTCACCTGCTCAGCTTCAGCATGGAGGCCGGAGCAGGGCCAGGAAAGGAAGTTGACCTGACAGTCCTCTCTGAATTCCTCGGGTTACCGATACAGAGAAACTGAGGATCTTCGGTTGGACCATGTCGGTGGAAATCCAGGTTAGGAAAAGCTCAAAGGTTAATGCAAAAGAACTTTATTTTTTATTTAAGCATTTAAAATTGTTAATCATATATCCCCCCCTAAGGAAAAAATGCAGCCCTTAAATATCAGGAAAGGGGAGAAAAAGGAGAGTCTTGCCTATCTCTCTCTGAATTCCAGGCAGGTTTTTAAAAGGTCTGGGACAGCAATTAAAAAAACATGAGTAACTTTAGAAAGAGATTTTTGAGGTGTGCAGCATCGATCTGAATCATACCACAATCTCTATGCATTTTTAAAATGCAGGCACAAAACATTACAACTCGGAGCAAGTCAAATACAGAAACACGATTTCCCATGATGCCTGCAATACAACATTCACTGGCTGGGGGGGGGGGGGGGAGAAACGAAAAAAAAACAGCC